GGCCTGCCTGCTTAGCATGACACTTAAAATGCCAGAATACCGTCAACGATAGTAGCCATCATGCCAGTGTCTTGGACTAAAATTTCCCATCCCCCTTCGTGGACCGGGGTTCTCTGTGCTAGCTGATGACTGCCCTCCACCCAGAGGGGGATGGATGCATTTTCATAGTACCTTAGCTAGCCAGCGTGCAAGACTTTATGATAAAAGGTGTATTTACTAAACACTTGGCCCTGGAATTTTTTGGTCTCCACTTTTGGATACACATGTAAAAGTTTGTAATCTCTTCCCCCCGCTCCCACTTCTTCCCTGCACTCCTGTTGTAAAGCTTATAGCTAGTCTCATTGCTAAAACGTAGGGCCTGGATCCAATAAGCTAGTTACTGAACACTAGCCTTATGTACTTGCAATACGAGGCACTCTGACACCCACCGTAACGCCACGCTCCAAGAGGTATCCCTTTGCTCCTCAGTTAACTGGCTAATCATACAGCCTACCGGTCTGCCTGTTTTTCAGTGGGAATTGCACAATGCAATGGAGGGCAGACGGGGCATGTTTTTTCTCCACGTTTCCAAGTTGTGACCACTACGTGAAGCGCATGGTACAGTGCTTATGGCACTGAGAACTTGGGAGACCAGAGTCAAGACCCTTGCTCTTCCATAGCCTTCCTGGGTGACCGAGGGCACGTCCCTGAGCCTCTCTGGGTCTCAGGTTCCCCTCTGTTAACTGGGGAATGATAGCACCTTCTACCTCACACTGGTGTTTTGAGGATAAATACATGAAAGAGCATGAGGTGCTCAGAAACTACAGTAATTGGCAGAGGGCTCATATGCCCACTGTGATGGGAAAGAGGCAAAGTTCCTGATCTCCAAGTGTCTGGGCTGGGTAGATGGGCTTGGGGGTGGAGCCAGTTGTCCCCTATCTTTGCCCTATTCCCCTCTTCTCCCCAGCCTGGTCATGTGCTCTGCCTCCCATTCTGTCCAGATTCTGCTCCCGCTCACTGGGAAGCAGAGTGGGGTAGTAGCAGCACTAACCAGCAACAGCTGAGGCCAGCATTGGAAGAAATCCAGCATGTTGCTGGCAACACTGAAGATCAGATGAAGTGACTTGTCCAAAATCACACACAAAGTTTTCAGATGAGCCAGGAATTGATGTCCCATCTCCTGAGTCCCCAACCTGCCAACACTCCCTCCGAAACCTGACTACTTGAGCAGCGCCCATATTGTGAGAGTCATTCCCCCTTAGTTAAATAGCAATGTCTGCTAGATCCCATAGTTGGGTACTTAGACCTAGCTCCAGGTAGGCTTTCCCCCCCCCCATCTACCCCACCCCCACCCATAAAAGAGTCACTCTGCACAATGTCAGCTCAAGTGTACATTTTTATTTTTTAATGGAACATAAACTCCTTTAGAAAAAACATTCATCTGGATGATAACACCCATAGAAAAAACACCAATCTCGTGTTTTTTGTTTGTTTTTTTAATTTGGCATTTGTTATTTGCATTTATATTAAAGCAAAGTGCATCTTTCTTATTTTTCTCGTTTATACACATTGCACAATACATAAATAATGATGCTTATAAAAGTCTTTATATTTACAAGTAATAATATATTTATATATAACATAAAATACATTTTTTCTTTAATAAATCTCAAGGGTTTTTTTTTGAAGGAGTCCTTTTTTTTTTTCGTTTTCTTTTGTTTTATTTCCAAAGCACTACAATGCTAAAGTTCCAATGAGAATGCTTCTCTTGTTCATTTAAACCTTTATATTTAGAAAAATAGCTTATGTTAAGGTCTAAACATGCTCATTGAGCTAAGAACAGTGTAAAAGTATCATACTAGCGTATGAATTCAAGAAGAAATGAAAGAGCGACTGCATTTCTGGATACGACTGGTACCGCTCTAACCTGATCACGGCAGGTTACGATGGACCAAAGATCATGAATACATCCCCCCCCCCCCCATTTTTGTTGTTGTTTGTTTGCTTTCTTTTTGTAGGCTTATGTTTTCTCACCAAGGTTGCATCTCAGCTCAAATTGAAAAGCATGGGCCATGCATGTTTTTTTTCCTCATAGTATCAATAAAACAATAAAAGCACTCAAAGTGTGGGCATGCGTCTTCCAAAACCCATGCTGCCACCATGGACTGTTGGCATAACAGTGACAAGACGTGATCTTTAAATAAAGCAACAAGCATACATGAAAGAAGAAGAAGGGGGGAAAAAAAGGAGCAAGGAACTGAACGATACGGTTTCACTTTGCTGCGTTGGCTCCTGATGCCTCCTGGGTGCACCGGCACATACATTTGTTCTGTGTCAGGGACAATGCAGGTGGTTGCCACTGAGGGGGAAGCTGCAGCAAGACAGCCCTGTGTGTGTGCGCACTCAGCAGGACAAGGGGGCGACGAGACGTCTGGCAGCAGAAGACCTCTGGTGTGTCAAAAACATATGTATAAACCCTTTTTTATGAGGGAGCTGTAACAAACAGCGTGTGACTGAATTCCACCAGTCGCTTGGGGTAATAATTTCAGAGGCATTAAATGATTATTTTATGTAATCCCCTCCCACACCTTCTCCTCCCCCTTCTGAGTTATTGGTCATTCACACATTAAAAAAAATATATATTTATCGAAATACCAAGGCAAAAATCTTTCCATAAGCTATTTCTCAAAACAGGGGAGGGGGGGAAAAAAACACAAAACACAAAAACAAACAAACAAACAAAAAAGTTTGCATGAAAAGCAAGCACTCAGAAGGAAATATTAGCAGCAAAGTAGTTATAATGTCATGAGTCCACTCTGTCTCAAGTCATCGGTTATTAAAAATAACCTCCAACCAGCATGGGCAACTGCTGATAAACTGTCTTGTGTAGCACTGGCCCCAGCCTTTCACAAAGCTGATCTGAACAGTAAATCCGGTCCATGGCTGCTGCATGAACTCATGGTCGTTAGGCCTCTGTAAGCTGTATGCCTTCTCATAGTCAAAAGCCTTGATGGAAAATCCTGGGAAAACTTTGTGAACCAGCAACGTCCTGGAGTCGGGGTTGTCCAGTGTGGCCGACTTGATAAAGACAGGGTAACTACTGCGGTTGTATACCCACACGCCGTCCACTTCCTTAGTCAGCTGGATGCCATAGCCAATTTTGCTGCGGACTTTCTGCACCAGCTGGCTTTTGTTGTCTGAATTGAGCTGTCCGAGGCAGAAGCCGTTCCCCTGAGGTAGATCATAGAAGATATCCAGGGAGGGCTCTTGGACAGAATACAGCCGGCCCACACGCGTTTTCTCTTCCCAGTATGCCACCACGCACCAGTGTGACCGATCCCCCGGCCCCTGAAGAACTTGGGAATCTATAGAGAGAGGGGGGAAGAAAAAAAGAGAGAGATTTATTACAACAGAGATAAATAACATAACTTTATAAATCCTGAGCACTTACAGATTACCCTCTTCCCATAGCTCTGGCAGTGCATTTCAATGACCTGTGATTATTATCATTATCCCTAGCCAAGACCCGGAGCCTAAGTCCCATTGTCAAAAGGATGTAGGCCCATACTCTCAGAGAGCACCAGGGAAGTGAGGCACCTAAATACCTTTGAGGATTTTGCCTTAGGATCCTATGTCAGAGGACTACTAGGCTCCTAAGTCACTCAGGTGCTTTTGAAAATTTTATCCTAAATGATTTTGCCAAAGTCATACAGTGAAGCTTTTGGGAAAGCCAGGAACAGAACCTGACTCCCTGCTCTCCTCTCAGTCTCTTTGGGGCAGATTTTCAAATGGATTTAGGCACTTTGTGCAGATGAAAAACTGGCCTTTTGACCATAAAGAGAGATTAAGAGAGAGATCTACACCCAGAGTTGTACCGATATGACTATTTTCGGTGCAATTTTTTACTGGAACAGTTATAACAGTAGAAATTGGACACAGTTATACCAGTATGAAGGTTCCTTACACTGATATAGCTTATTCCACTTCCTGAACAGGAATAAACTACATTGGTATAAGTCCCTTTATATCAGTGTTACTGCATCTACATGAGTGGACTGTATCTCTTCAACTATGCTGATATAGTTTAAAGTGGCATAATTTTTGTGTGTAGACAGGCCCATGGAAAGAGAGGCCTGATTTAGTAGTTTAAATACAGGGGTGGGCACCAATTAACTCTTGCCATTCTAATCTGTGCTCCAATTCCCATGTCCTCTGCAGCCTTGCTAGTAGCTGGTCTTTTCTGCCTCAGTTTCCTCAGCTCTAAAAAGAGGGTGAAATATTCCACCTTGCAGGGGTGTTGTAGGCAGTAGTTAGCTGACGTCCATGGGTCTGTCTTTACGGCAGCTATCCCAGACTCTTACTAAGGTGCTGCCCCTAATCCCCCCTGCTCCAGCCACACACACAAAAATCTCTCACCTGAGTGCAGTGATACCTTACTTTCACTTGGGCTGATAACTCACCCACTTTGCAGTGAGGACACAGGTTAAACCACTCATGTGCTGATAGTCCTCCAATGCCTTCCCACAATTCACGGGGAAAGAATCACAGAGCTGCTCGATTTACTGCAGCACAGAGAAGCATAGGATGTGCCCCCAGTTGTCTTAGCGAGACATGCGGATGAGTGCAGCACCAGTGAAGACACGGTAACTCGGGGATGACCCTGCAGGCATCTAGGCCAGGCTAACCTGAGTGCTCAGCTCACACTGCCTATCATCTGAGTTAACTCTGCAGTGAAGACATACCCCGTGAAATGCTCTGGGAGATGAAAACTGCTGTGCACCTACAGTAACTGATTTCTTCCCCACCCTCAAACCCTCATTGCAGCGAATCAATTTAAGCAACAGTAAATCAATGTGGATAACATAATACTGGAGCTGCTAATCAGCCGCAGAGATTTTTTTTTCCTATGTGAAGTGTGGGTAAACCAGGATGAGGGCTAAGGTACCCACAGCCTCACACACTCCATAGATCACTTTGCTTTCAAAGGCTTTAAGCCTAGACAAGCTTTGTTGATATATAATTTTTCCCCCCAAAAGGGGAGCGATAAAAGGCAAGTTAAACATTGCTCAACAGGAATGGAGGGCACAACAGATCATCTGCTATAATTTACAGAGCCTATTTACGCCTATAGCTGGAACCCTGGTAATAAATGCTACGATTCAGACGTCAGATGAACTATAAATCTGACTGAACTGCAGTTAGACTGTGGTTTGTGGTGGCAGGGTGGAGACCGGAAGTCTTGCATTTGTTAACAAAAAAGAAAAGAAAAAAAAGTCAGTTCTTTTAGACCTTCCCTCCTCTTTCAATCTATCCCTCCTGCTAGCAGCTAAGCCACAGTTGCTGCTACTGGGATTGAGATGGGATGAAAGGACAGGAAAGGAAGGGGAAATGGGGGGTATCTTATGACTCTCATAATAGCACTAGCTAGGTCCATCAGCTCTGTGCTGCTTCACTAATATCTTTCCAGCTTTTATAGATATGTTAAGACCTGGGACCTATTAATCTCTAATATTTTATTTAAACAAAAACCAAACAAAAAGCAAGTTCAGAGCTGAAAGCTAGAAAGTAATATTACTTTCCCAAAATAAATCCACACACACACACACACACGTAAAGATCTCTTACATACAACATAAGAATAGCCATACTGGGTCAGACCAAAGTTCCATCTAGCTCAGTATCCTGTCTTCCGACAGTGGCCAATGCCAGGTTCTCCAGAGGGAATGAACAGAACAGGTAATCATCAAGTGATCCATCCCATCGCCCATTCTCAGGTTCTGGCAAACAGAGGCTAGGGACACCACCCCTGCTCATCCTGGCTAATAGCCATTGATAGACCTATCCTCCATGAATTCATCAAGTTACTGTTACAGTCTTGGCTTCACAACATCCTCTGGCAAAGAGTTCCACAGGTTGATTGTGCATTGTGTGAAGAAATACTTCTTTTTGTTTGTTTTAAATCCGCTGCCTATTAATTTAGTTTGGTGACCACTAGTTCTGTTATGAGGAATAAATAACATTTCCTTATTTATTCTCTTAAAACTACAACATCCCCTAAACCCATTCCACAGCTAGTGATACAATGCCTGATAATTCTTCCCAACAAACCTGCGTAGCGCCTTAATATAGCACAATAAAATCCTGAAGAAAGAATGACAGAAGGAGAGTAGAGTGGCTAAATTAGCCAGTCCAGTTGCTGTATTTTCTCTGCTTTTTACTGACTATTAATATGCCTGTTTCCCCAACATAGGCATTTTTAAGTCTTTGGAGTCTGTTTAGAGTACAGTACTGTGCTTTTAAAAAATAAATCCAGCCACACACTTTTAATTTCCTCACTTCTATGCCAGCGAGGAAAATATTTCTCCAGTTGCTGGAAGCAGCTACTAAAAATGGGCCCAACTGCACATGTTTGGAAACTAGAAGGATAAGTTGTTGTCAACCTACTCACCAAAAACATGATGGGGGGGGGGGCGAGGGCTGGAACTGTTGGTGCAATGCACTTATGGGGCTATGTAAAAGGGAAACAGCCTTGCGAGTCTACAGGCTTCATTCTGCCTACTTTTAGGTGTGCCCCGATGGGTCTTTCAACCTCCCCCCTTTGGTGCCTCACAATACTTTGTTTCATCTAACTCAATCCACTGAAACCTGGCACCAAATAAGCAGCAAACAGGGGGGAAAAAGCTGAGTGAGAGAAGGGGCGGGAGAAGAGGAGGTCGTAGTGGGGTTGGGAAGAACTGAGCCGGGTATCAAATTACCTTTACCCTAACCGTCTGCCACTACCTCAGTGTATGCACTTCTGGGGGGAATGAGTCTGTGAAAGTCACACTCCACTACTGTCCTGTGTGAAGAGACAGGAAAAGCAGTCGCTCCCCATGAAGGAAAAATTAAACGGGGGAGGAGGGGGGGAGAGAGAGAGGAAATTGCGCGGGAGGAGTAAAAAGAACCAGGAAACGTATCTGGGTAGAAGGCCCTTACACCCTATTACATGAAAGAAAATCCCTCAGACTGCATTCTTCCCTTTCATCTTCCCAGCCCGCCAGTCCACCCAGCAATTTTCAGACAGACGTCAGTGAAAGAAGTTTTCAGATTATGTTAATTGCTTAGCCCAGATAAATTGCAGGCTGTGTCTCTCTCTCGCTCCCTCCCCTCTCCTCTGCAGGGGCCTTAAAGCTAAATCTCATGGCACAGACAGGATGTAGAGTTCTCTTTCCACAGACTCCCTAGATCCTGCTCTTCTTTTTACAACAATGCCTTATGGTGTTGCCTTAAGGGCCAGACCCTACCATCCCTACCCAGGCTGCAGGAATTTTGCCTGAGTAAAGACAGTAGATTAGGTTAATCACAGAACACTTCATGGAACTTGTGCAAATGTGAAAGTAACTTTGGTTGAAGACCAGATTCTGATCACTGAAACTGATTCTGTTGTAAAACCATGTTAGATCACAATTAGGTCCTATGGTTTTCACTCCAGATTTATATTGGTGTAACAGAGGTGAGAATCCAGCCTACTACACATTTCTGAGCACATGGGTTTTTTTAATTATAATTTTTTTGTATGTGTATACTTTAAAAAAAAAGAGATTTTAACTAACTGTTTTTTTTAAGAGTCAGGAAAGGAAAGCCATATTGTAAAAACAAACAAACCCCAAACCGTAACTTGTGAGATACGTGGAGCTCACGATTTTTGTTTTACTCCAGTTAAGGGCATTTTGGAACAACAAGCATTGAACATGCTGAATCTCACTGAAATTCCTTTAAGTTTTTATTTTCTTTAACATAAAAAATCACCCCTTTCAGGAGGAGGGGGAAAAAAGGGCTATTTCACCTCATGTTTGCACTTGCATTAGTGAAGACCACTTAACAAGTAGCTCATTGCCACTTACAAAGAGTTATTTAATTGCCAGCGCATAAAAAAAGAGCTGCCCTGGCTATGAATGAACGGCCCTTTATAGAAGACTGGAAGTTCATGAATGAATCCCACTAGGCTTTTCAATGACATGGGGTGACCAGACCTCGAGGACAAGCTTTGGGTAATCAGGATTTTTTTTTTAACGAGTTAGTGCCAAAACACAGTATAAACATGTCAAAGTGTCTTCCGCTTGAGGGACTATGCTGTTGACTGGATGTCTACCCCTGAAGCCATGAGAATATATAGGTAGTGCTCAGATAAACAGGATGTGTCCTTGCTGCTGGGCAAGTTACCAAATCACCAAAGATGCTCTTTCACAATTACGCTGTATGTAGCTGTGGGCTGATTTTTCGTCCTTTCCCCAAACTCTCTTGGGGCTGCTGCTAAAAGGCAGTGTTTCTTGTTAGAAACCTAGGTATGGCCTTTGGATGGTGTGGCCAAGAAAGGAGTGTGAAG